TATAATAGAGCTTGAAGTCAGGTATGGTGATGCCTCCTGAAGTTCCTTTATTGTATAGGGATGTTTTGGCTATCCTGGGCCTTTTGTTTTTCCATATAAAGTTGATTAATGTTCTTTCCAGGTCCTTGAAGAATTGTGATGGAATTTTGATAGGGATTGCATTGAATCTGTAGACTGCTTTTGGCAAGATTTCCATTTTTATTATGTTGATCCTACCAATCCAAGAGCATGGGAGATCTTTCCATTTTCTGGAATCCTCTTTGATTTCTTTCTTTAAAGACTCAAAGTTCTTGATATACAGGTCTTTCACTTACTTAGTTAATATTATCCCCAGATATTTGATGCTGTTTATGGCTATTGTAAAGGGTGATGTTTCTCTGATTTCTTTCTCAGTCACTTCATCTTCTGTATATAATAGGGCCACTGATTTTTTTGAGTTTACCTTGTATCCTGCCACTTTGCTGAAGGTGTTTATCAGCTCTAGGAGTTCCCTTGCGGAGTTTTTCGGGTCACTTATGTAAACTATCATATCATCTGCGAATCGTGAAAGTTTGACTTCTTCTTTTCCTATTTGTATCCCCTTTATCTCCTTTTGTTGTCTTATTGCTGTAGCTAGAACTTCAAGTACAATATTGAAGAGATATGGAGAGAGTGGACAGCCTTGTCTTGTTCCTGATTTTAGAGGAATTGCTTTGAGTTTCTCTCCATTTAGTTTGATGTTAGCTGTTGGTTTACTGTATATTGCTTTTATTATATTCAGGTACATTCTTGTTATCCCTGATCTCTCTAGGACCTTTATCATGAAGGGGTGCTGGATTTTGTCAAAGGCTTTTTCAGCATCTAGTGAGATGATCATGTGGTTTTTCTTTCGCAGATTGTTAATATGGTGGATTACATTGATAGATTTTCTAATGTTGAACCATCCCTGCATTCCTGGGATGAAGCCTACTTGATCGTGGTGGATGATTTTTCTGATGTGTTCTTGAATCTGGTTTGCGAGTATTTTATTGAGTATTTTTGCATCAATGTTCATGAGGGAAATTGGTCTATAGTTCTCTTTCTTAGTTGTGTCTTTGTGTGGCTTGGGTATCAAGGTAATTGTAGCCTCGTAGAAAGAGTTTGGCAGTGAGCCTCCTGCTTCTATTGTGTGGAATACTTTGAGGAGTATTGGAAATAGCTCTTCTTTGAATTTCTGGTAGAATTCTGCACTGGAGCCATCTGGGCCTGGGCTTTTTTTATTTGGGAGACTTTTGATGACTGCTACTATTTCATTAGGGGTTATAGGTCTGTTTAGATTGTTTATCTGTTCTTGATTTAGTTTTGGCAAGTGATATCTATCCAGGAAATTGTCCATTTCCTTTAAATTTTCAAATTTTGTGGAGTACAGATTTTCAAAGTATGCCCTGATGATTCTGTGGATTTCCTCAGAATCTGTTGTTATGTCCCCTTTTTCATCCCTGATTTTGTTAATTAGCGTGCTCTCCCTCTGTCTTTTAGTTAGTTTGGACAGAGGTTTATCTATTTTGTTGATTTTCTCAAAGAACCAACTCTTTGTTTCATTGATTCTTCTCAGTGTTTTTCTGGTTTCTACTTGATTGATTTCAGCCCTCAATTTGATTATTTCCTGGCGTCTTCTTCTCCTGGGTGAGTTTGCTTCTTTTTGTTCTAGAACATTCAGCTGTGCTATTAATTCTCTAGTATGACTGTTCTCCAGTTCTTTCTTGTGGGCACTTAGTGCTATAAACTTTCCTCTCAGCACTGCTTTCAAAGTGTCCCATAAGTTTGTGTATGTTGTGTCTTCAATCTCATTGAAATCGAGGAAGTCTTTAATTTCTTTTTGTATTTGTTCCTTTACCCAGGGATGGTGCAATTGTGCATTGTTCAATCTCCATGAGTTTGTAGGGTTTCTGCGATTTGTGTTATTGTTGAATTCTAATGTTAATGCATGGTGGTCTGATAAGATGCAGAGGGTTATTCCATTTTTTTGTATCTGTGGAGATTTGCTATGTTTCCTATTATGTGGTCAATTTTAGAGAAGGTTCCATGTGGTGCCGAGAAGAAGGTATATCCCCTTGTATTTGGGTGGAATGTTCTATAGATGTCTGTTAAACCCAGTTGGGTCATAACTTCTATTAGTTCTTTTGTTTCTTTGTTAAGTTTCTGTCTGGAGGTCCTGTCTAGTGGTGAGAGCGGAGTGTTGAAGTCTCCTACTATTAGTGTGTGAGATTTTATGTGCATTTTGAGCTTTAGTAATGTTTCTTTCACGAATGTAAGTGCCTTTGTATTTGGGGCGTAGATGTTTAAAATTGAGACTTCGTCTTGATGTATTTTTCCTTTGATGAATATGAAGTGTCCTTCTTCATCTCTTTTGATTGATTTTAATTTGAAGTCTAATTTGTTAGATATTAGGATTGCTACACCCGCTTGTTTCTTGGGACCGTTTGATTGGAAGATCTTTTCCCAACCCTTTACTCTGAGATAACGTCTGTCTTTGATGTTGAGATGTGTTTCTTGTATGCAGCAGAAGGAAGGGTTCTGTCTTCGTATCCATTCTGCTAGTCTGTGTCTTTTTATAGACAAGTTGAGGCCGTTGACATTGAGGGATATTAATGACCATTGATTGGTGATCCTTGTTTGTGCTTGATTTATTGTTAGTGAAGTTATTTTGTGTAGTTTTTCCTCCCTTTTTCTTTTGGTGTTTTGTAAAGTGTGATTATATCTTGCCTGTGTCTTTGTGAATGTAGTTATCTTCCTTGGCTCTATGTTTTCTTTCTAGCATTTTCTGTAGAGCTGGATTCATGGATACATATAGTTTAAATCTGGCTTTGTCATGGAATATTTTGTTTTCTACATCTATGGTAATTGAGAGCTTTGCTGGATATAGTAGTCTGGGCTGGCATCCTTGTTCCCTTAGCATTTGTAGGACATCTGTTCAGGATCTTCTGGCTTTCATCGTTTCCATTGAGAAGTCGGGTGTAATTCGAATAGGTCTGCCTTTGTATGTTCCTTGGCCTTTTTCTTTAGCTGCTCTTAATATTTTCTCTTTACTCTGTAGGTTTGATGTTTTGATTATTATATGCCGAGGTGACTTCTTTTTCTGGTCGAGCCTATTTGGTGTTCTGTAAGATTCTTGTACTTTCATAGGCATATCTTTCTTTAGGTTAGGGAAGTTTTCTTCTATGATTTTGTTGAATATGTTTTCTGTACCTTCAAGTTGAATTTCTTCACCTTCTTCTATACCTATTATTTTCAGGTTTGGCTTCTTCACAGTGTCCCATATTTCCTGGATATTTTGTGTTAAGGATTTGTTGGTTTTGAAATTTTCTTTGGTTGGCGACTCTATATCCTCTAATGAGTCTTCAACACCTGAGATTCTCTCTTCTATCTCTTGTATTCTATTGGTGATACTTGCATCTGTAGTTCCTGATCGTTTACCGAGCTTTTCTATTTCCAGCATCCCTTCATTCTGTGTTTTCTTTATCGTTTCTATTTCAGCTTTCAATCCTTCAACTGTTTGAGTTGTTTCCTTAATTTTTTTGGTTGTTCTTTCTTGGTGCTCTTTAGATTCTTTGAGAGATTTGTTTATTTCTTGAAATTTTTCCCCCATTTCATGGATTTTTTTTGTTTGTGTTTTCTTCTATTTCTTTAAGGGATTTCCTCGTTTCTTCTTTGAGGGTATCCATCATCTTCATGAAATAATTTTTAAGGTCTGTCTCCTTCTCTTCATCTATGTAGTGCTTTTCGGGTCTTGCTGGTGTTGGATCCCTGGATTCTGGTGGGGTCATGTTGGTGTTTCTATTGCTGAGTGATCTCTTATTCTGTCTTCTTCCCATCTCTTCTTCCAGTGGGTGCTGGTGGGTTCTTTCCGTCTCCACTGGTCTCCTTCCTTACTGCAGCTGAAGCTGGGGATGCTGAAGCTGGACTCGCTGGGGTTGGGGTCTTGGAGGGGCTAATCTCTTTCTTGAAGCTGGACTCCCTGGGGTTGGGTCTTGGAGGGGCTGATGTCTTTCCTGAAGCTGGGCTCGCTGGGTTGGGGTCTTGGAGGGGCTGATCTCTTTCCTGTGTGTGTGGCTCTTCTGGAAGCCGGGAGCGGCCCCGAAGATGGAGGGGGATGGGTGATGTGCGGGTGGTCCTTGTTGGAGACCCAATCTCACCTGAAGCTGGCCTCCTTGGGGTTGGCATCTTGGAGGGGCTGATCTCTTTCTTGTGTGGGCAGGTCTTCTGGATGCTGGGAGCAGCCCAGAAGATCGCGGGGGGGGGGATGGGTGATGTGCGGGCGGTCCTTGCTGGAGACCCAATCTCACCTGAAGCTGGGCTCGCTGGGTTGGGGTCTTGGAGGGGCTGATCTCTTTCCTGTGTGTCAGTGCCAATTGTTTTGCCTGTGATCTCCAGAGCTTCTATCTCTGCCATCCACAATATTTAAATGTCAAGCTTCTTTAATACCAGAGGGGAGTGGTAACCAAAGTTCCTTGTGATGGTGTATAAACAAATCCTTATGTTGCTACATAAACAAGTCAATTGCTAATTGTGATAATACTCTAGCATGAATAAGGGCCATAAAACATTATGAATAAAGTACCAAAGGGAAATGCAGAAAAGCTTTTAGGTTTTTGAGCCTATGAAGCAGAGTGGGATAATGATGATTCACTACATGAAAGGTGAAAAATGTGTCCGTATCTCAGTCCAGTAGTTTCTCCTTCAGCTTATTCTTGGAGAGTGGCTGACCTGGAATTAGCAGCCATATAATTAGCTCAGATTTGCTTTGACCCCTTCCACATCCATGCTGTTTCACAATACAGACTTCTAGAACACTAGAGGGAAAACTTTAGATCCTGGGCACCACTTAATTTACCCTGAGAAACAGTTACTGAAGTTCTGAATAGATACTGTCTGTCTGTGTGCAGAAGGTTTTCTGTCTTCAGTTCTTTAGCAGGACATGGTGCTGGGAGCTCAGGGATTACCTCAAGGAAATGTATCACTGTACGATTTCTGTCTTTCAGGTCTTTTCTTTGGTATTTTGTGTACCTCCATGGCTGTGGTTGCATCCTTTATGGGGAGTGTTATACAGGTAATTGAACAAGGAAAAGACATTTTATTTCACCTCGAACTTTCCTGTTTCCTTTCTAATGCCTTTTGTATTACTCCAAGGTCCAACATTAATATTTCTGGATACCAGTTCCAAACAAAGCATACATGAAAATTTCAACCAAAATTACTTTCAGAAGGTAAAAGTAGTAATAGGATGACTTGCAATGGGTTTATTTTCTCAGTTCACACAACATGTATTCTCTCTTTCCCTCTATCTTAATAACCTTTGTTTTCTCTTTTACTGAGATTAATACTTGCTAAAAAGGGGAAAAAAGTCACTCTATCTAACTTCGTGATACTGTGAGTCATTATTGTTTCTTGAGAGAGATTTTTGCATTTCAGATGATTTGTAATTAAGGTGTGATAGGTTCCAGAGAGGTCCAGGACACCCCCAGTGACTGATGGAAAGAAATAGTACCTATAGTGAGTGAGTCAGTCTGGGTTCAACTGAGAATTCTGGTTCTCAACTTGTGGATCATGCCCTCTTTGGCAAAGCTCTATTTGCAAAACAATGGCAAAATACAATAATGAGTTAGCAATGAAAATAATGTTATGGCTGGGGGTCACCACAACATGAAGAACTCTATTAAAGGGTTGCAGCATTAAGAAGATAGAGATCCACTGCTCTATGTGATCCACTCATTTATTTTACCACATTTGAGTAAATAAAGACAATTTTAATTCTTCTATTATTTACTATAAAGCTTTTCTCTGTGGAATTTAGTAAATCAATATTCAGATTCTGATTTTAAATATGGAAACAGACAAAAACCTAAGTCTCACAAGTCTGAGTGATAGAACCATGTTTAATTTCTTGTTCACAAATCCATAATACACTTATAGCTTGTATTTGTGGGTGATACCAGTGGCCACAGCTTTCAGTTCCATAAAGGTTAAATAAATTTTTCTTAAATGATTGCTTTGGTTTGCTGTTTTGTTTATTTGTTTGGTTTTGAAGTCCTTTTGCATTGTTTTAGTGTAGGAATTTTAAAAAGTGTGTCTTAAAAAGTTTCAACCTGTGAAATGTTCTAAGGGGGACAATTTCCATTGAGGCCCCTTGGGGAAAATGCTAGGCATATAATTTTCTCTTCTCTAAGATCAAGAACACAGTAGTATATGGAAGGTTGTGGGAAATCCAATGACAAGTAAAGCTGTTTTTCTTGCAATAGTGTACTGGAGGATTCTGGGAGGGATCAGATGAGAGTAGAAAAGCTCTATCCATGAACAGGGCCTTGGAGAGCTGCCTGAGGCTACTTTTGATTTGTAGCTCCTGTCCTTCTGGTTTTGAATCTATTGCTCATTTCCTATGCCCCACATTCTGGCATTCACTCATGTCACATCTGAACTAAGAAAACATGTAAAATTTCAGCTGGATTACTTACAGAGGAGGAAGATACTGAAACTAAGAAGTAATGATCAAGTTAATCATGATTAAAATTCAAAATCCTTTAAGATCCCCGAGAATTAAACTACTGCAAAACGTCTTTCTACACAATATGTTGCTGCCCACAGGACTACCTGGAATTCTTCTAAGGGGTAGAACAAATTGACAACATGTTTTTATCTCAACTTAAGCAGGTCTTCTCTAGATTTTCCAGCACTCTGGCATTCAGAAGCCATGCCACAGGAATCACAGTTCCTTAGCAGGTACAGCACTGACAAATACAGTGAGAATAGTGGGGTACTCCTAATACATGTCACAGTACTCAAACACTTCTCTGAGTTTTCTTTTGGAATCTACATTGCATCCTCAAGAGGAAAAAGTTCAGGAAGTGGGTATGATGAGATGCCTTTCTGACATTTTAAGCAAGCTAAGGCACAGCATAGTTAAATGTCATTCCCAAGCTTTGTCAGCATCTCCAGGGCTAAATCACAAACTCCTGGATACTGTCCCCTATTTGTCAAGAAAGCTCAGATGGTTTCTGGGCATTGAAGTAGAAGCTCAGTTAGACTAGCTTTGAGTTTTTTCCAATTACAGATACTGAATGACAACAAAAAGAAAGTAAAAATCAATGTCCATTGCTGTTGTAGTCTACAAAACATGCATAGAACATGTAAATATGCATGTGTTTAAAAATAGAAACTCTTGGACTGACTTTCTGTTGCTTTTTGCTCTGAGGCAAAAGGCATTGCAAGCTTGCCTTTATTTTTTTTTTACCACCACCACCTTCAAATGAGATAAATGTCTTCAGTATTTTATTGACTCCTCTTATGATTGCCAGTAATAGCCTTCAAAATTCATCTGTCACCACTATGATAAATTAATCTTACCACCAGCAAAGAAATGCTACAAATATTAAATAATTAAAGTCAGGGGAAAATAAGCTTAATCACATGCCTCTGTATTTTCAAAGCTATAATAGGAATTGAATTATTTGAAATTAGTCTGGAAAATCAATCTGTTTTAGTTAGGGTTTTATTGCTATGAAGAGAAACCATAGCCATAGCAACTCTTATAATGGAAAACATTTAATTGGGCCTGGCTAATGGTTCAGAGGTTTAGTCTGTTATTGACATGGCAGGACACATGGTAGCATGCATGCAAACATGGTGTTGGAGAAGGAGCCTAGAGTTCTATATCTGGACCTACAGATAGCAGGAAGAGAGACTGCCATACTGAGTATAGCTTGAGCTTCTGAAACCTCAAAGCCCAACCCCTAGTGACACATCACCTCCAAAAAAAGACACATCTGCTCCAACAAGGTCAAACCTCCTAATAGTGACACTCCATATGGTTCTATGAGGGCTGTTTTTACTCAAAGCACCACACAATCATAATGATACATTGCAGCTCATATTTATGGAAAAAGAATTTATATTATGGCAGAAAGAAATGGTAAGATGAAAGTGAAAGTTTGCATGATTACTAGTTAATAACAGGGAGTTCCTCAAATCCTAGTGATATATGGCAGGTTATAGTGACAATTAAAATAGTCTAATTATTAAGGATAGACTAAAAAACATTTCTTTGTTTAAGTAAAATCAGGAGGGTATTATGTAAATTTGCGTTCTTGATTTCTTTTTTTCAAGACAGGGTTTCACCATGTAGCCTTGGCTGTCCTGGAACTCACTCTATGGACCAGGCTGACCTTGAACTCAGAAAGATCAACCTGCCTCTGCCTCCCAAGTGCTGGAATTAAAGGCATGCAACATCACCTCCTGACTAGCAGTCTTGGATTTTTAAAAGATTTCTTTTGGGAAAGAAAATGTAAAAATTTAAAGCCAGACAAATTTGGTCATATATATATCCTCTAAAATAGACTGGAATGTGTTTCTATTAGCCCCAAGTTTCTTTCCTGCAAAATTTGCTTACTGTTGCTGAACTGGGTGTGAGGGTTAAATGAGACTGGAGTACACAGGCAGATCTCCTCATCTGAATGACACATGAGTGGCACTTGACAAACAAACTTTGTAAGATCTAGGGAGCTTTCCAAAACTTGGCCCCTGATATAACATCCCCATAGTACTTTTACAGATATAGAAAGTGCTGCAGAAAAAGTAGTTTTATGTGTACTGTATATGCATGTGTGTGTATGCTCTCATTTACATGATTCAGTGAATTTGCATTTCCCAACTCTTGGAAGGTCTCAGTCAGTCTTCATGCTGAAAGCAGTCTTGCCAAAGTGCTATTTTTGTCTTGTTACCCATACACTTACATTGTACACTTACATGATACAGAGGCTTCAGAAAACTTGTTTTCACTTATGTTTATACTATAGGTATTACATAAACTTTAAACCAGTTCATTTGGTTTAGTCATTTAAAAGATGAGAAGTAATGAAATGCTTTACTCAAAATTTCTCAATGCCCAAAAGGGATGGTGCCACAAATGTGAAGAGAAATAAAAGGGAGGAGGCATGGGGTGTATGATTGCCTTTCAAGGTGTTGCAAATACTAAAGAACTATTCAGTGTCTCAGAAGTGTTATGGGTGGGGTGGTAGAGTTTGGGATCCAGATAATCTTTATTATGCAATTGATAGAAAGTTTAAATCAAGTTAAAGTAGCTGAGGAGTCATGTAGGATATAAAAAATAAGTTATAGCTGCATTGATTTAGTAAATTCCTTAACCAACAAATAAAGTAACATCTATGGTGCTCAGAATTAGGCCCAGGGTCTTGTGCATGTTAAGCAAGTATAAAGGAAAGAAAACCTTTTGCCATTCTAACAAGCTAAAGTGGCTCTAACAAATGAAAGGTACCTGGATTGATATTTTCTGAACATATGCATACACAGATGTACATTTAGTTGTATAAGTCTATTGTCTATGTGTGCTTGTATGGGTAAATACACAAACACACATATGCACACACATCTATTTCCCTTTCTATAAGAAAAGTACAAGATTAAAGAATGGGGCTCAAGTTCATCCAAGGTTCAAAGAAGGGATGGTTGTGTCAGGGTAAGCTACAGAGGCAGTGGAATTGTTGAGCTCATCTGGTCTGCTTTTTCCTACAGGCTGCCCTCAGCATCCTCGGCATGTGTGGAGGGCCGATGCTAGGTTTATTTACTCTGGGTATCATGTTCCCTTTTGTAAACTGGAAGGTAAGGATTATGTAGCTTTTTTCATAAGCCCAGTTCAAATAAGTCTCTTTTCATTTTCTATCTCCTTTTCCCTCTGCTTGGGTAGGCTGTTTGTTTTTGACAGAACAAAATCCAAAGAATTCACATTGCCCATATTTCTATTTTACAATACACATATATACAGGTGTAGAATTAAATGGGTCCAAGGACCACCTATATAAGACTATACTGAAACCTATTTAGAAGCAAAAAGCAAACAAGGGAAGAGATGGCCTTGAATGGTCATATGCTGAATAATTAATACGTAGAAAGAACAAGCCAGAGATGTTACTCATCTGGTACTTCCTCTGCTAATAGCATGTCTTTAGATAAATGCAGGTAGACTGTATGCTGCATATAGGTCAGATGAAAATTTATTAAGAAAAGCAACATAATACTATTTTAAACCATTTAGAATGTAACTTTCTCAGTCTAATAAAACTGTTACTACAATTTTCTCTACACACTTATACACAGAGTTGTAGGGACTCCAGAAAGTCTGCTTGTGTTTAAATATGAATACTGAGTTTGGTGTCTAGCTGGTTAAATGTATCCAGCTATCTGATTTTGTTGATACTATTCTAGATAGCTCCTGCTTGATTAGGCAGTGTCTTAGTTAGGGTTCTATTTCTGTGAAGAGGCACAAGGACCCAGCAACCCTTATAAAGAGAAACATTTAATTGGGGCTGGCTTACAATTCAAAGGTTTAGTCTATTATCTTCATGGCAGGAAGCATGGTAGCATGTAGACTGATGTGGTGCTAGAGAGGTAGCTAAGAGTTCTCCATCTCATTACACAGGCAGCTGAAAGAGGCAGCCACATGGGGCATGGCTTGAGCATCTAGGACCTCAAGGCTCACAATGACTACTTTCTCTAACAAGGCCATACCTACTTCAAGAAGGCCACACCTCCCAATTATGTTAGGTCCTATGGGGTCATAGTCACTCAAACTACTATAGGTAGTGAGCTTGGATATATAGTGAATATTTGGGTTTTGCAACAAAAAATTCTTCTGCAGTCTTATTAGCAGAATAATCACTTATATTTGAGTTTATGGAAATATTTGCTATTGTGAAATATAATCATTATGTTATAATTTGAGGTAACACCTAGTCACTAAAACAGAACAATCAAAAGAGTGTATCTGTGAAGTGGCTATGTAGTTCTTAGTAGAATATATACTATAAGGAACAACAATAGCAGACATGCCAATGTGGACAGGAGAAGAACCAAAAAGACTCAACTAGTGAAAGTGGGAGAAATAGCCATATCTAGGAAAATACCAAATATGCACAAATACATCAAATACCTGAAAGCATATACATACAAGTAACATTGTAAATATTGAGCAGGTTATATTTAGGAATACATATGTATATATACATACACACATTAGTTTATATGAATATGCAACAGCAATTCATAAAAAAGAGGTCATAAATTTGAAAGAGATCAAGGAGGGGGATTTGGAATGTTCAGAGGAAAGGGAAGGTAGAATAATGTAATTGTGTCATAATTTCAAAAAAAAATGAAAGTAATGAAAAAGAGGTAATTTATGTTAGTACACCTTATTATTCAGGAAAACCACTTAGTTCTAGATAGAGGACGCTAAGCATTATAAAGTTGTACCACCTCTTCCCTGCTCACTGATCTCAACTACGCCATCATCAGTCCTCTTCCCAGGGACTGTAACAGCAGATTCAGATTTGGCTTCAGCATGGCTGTCTAGGTGGCCACCTAGGTTGACCCTCCACTTGTCTTTTACAGTTAAATTGGGATGAGAAAATTTTGACTTAGTACAAACATAGGTGCCTTCTGTTTTGTGGTGTGACCTGCAATCTAAAAATATATGGACATTTGTAAGTAGATAGAAGAAAGTCAAAATAATTATATTTAGCGACATGTTAATATTGAATTTCAATGTCCATCAACAAAACATCACTGCAACAGCTTCTTTTATGTGGTATTGTCCATGATTCTTTTGAGGGTATAATAAGAGATTAATAGCTGTGACAGATGCTTCATAAATCACGAAGCCTAAAAGATGTATCTGGCTGTTTACAGAAGTTTACAGACCTCTTGTGTGAGCCAAAGCACAAATAGGCATTTGTATATGTTGGTTTAATTTTACCAAACAATAATGCATTCTGGGCCCTTACAGAGGACTCACTTATGCGTAATAGGAACTTCAACCATCTGTTTTCTTCCACAGAAGTTTCAGCTCTATAGTGTTGAACAGAAACATCTACTGAGATTTTTCCTGTAATCCCAGTATTTGTGAGAATTGTTCTACCTGTTTACAGAAGAAATTATTCATTGATTTCAACTGTTTATTACGAAACAAGATCATTAAGTGGTAGGGATAATAAAAATACACTTACTTAAGTTTAAAAATCTGTTAGTCAGACAACCAAATGAAAACTTGAGCATCAAGAAACTCTCCTAACTTGTGGAAAGAAATAGCAGCCAGATTTTTGTACAGTGTCAATAAAAAATGACTGTTGTGTAAAGATTTGCATAGCTTCTGAAACTTTTATTGAACATTGAAGTTTCACTATCTTTTCAAATAAAAAGAGGGAACAAATCAAAGGAAGAAAAATTTCATTCAAGGCGCAACTTATTCTTACTTAAAAATTGCTTCATGGGATGGGAGGTCATGATTCACTGGTAGAGAACTGGCCTGGCATGAATGAGACCCTAGAATTCATACCCAGCACTGAAAATAAGTGAGTAAATAGGTGAATTAGTCTGCATTCTGATATGAAGACAGTTTGAGCTGTTTTCAATGAATGTACATTACACCTTATAGCAATATTTATGCAAAAAAAGATTTGTCTAATTTCTTATTATGTTCTATTTTTCTCCAAGGGTGCACTAGGAGGCCTCCTTACTGGAATCACATTGTCATTTTGGGTTGCCATTGGGGCTTTCATTTACCCTGCACCAGAGTCTAAGACATTACCTTTACCTCTATCAACAGAGCAGTGTGTCCAATTAAATATAACAACAACAGTAGGTCCACAGCTTCCTAGCAGGTATGTTGACTTTAAAAATTGTACTAAGTCCCAAAATAGGTTAAGAGCACAGACCTCTCTCAGATAATGTGAAGAACTAGCTCTTGCTCATCTGGAAATGTTTAGCAATGAAGGGTACTGAGCAAGGCTGGCTACAAGGAGTTTTGCATATGGTTATTCCTATGCATTGAGGTAAACAAGAGTGAAAATAGTATACTGGGGGAGGGTTGTAGAACAAATCAGGGATCATGGTCTGAGTGTATGGTATGTAAAGGCTGTATTGTCTCTGTGTGGTTCATAAACTTTTGCTCCTATTACATGAATAATACTGAAGAGTCCCTTTAGAGATTTTCTGTTAGTTCATACACATAGACAAGTGTCTGTCAAAAATTTTCCAGTAATTATGGAATTAATGAACAATTGAGTAATAAATAACTGAAAAGGAATGGAAGACTTTGTCCTTATTCAAAAATCTCTCTCTTTCTCTCTGTCTATCTCTCTCTCTCTTATACACACACACACACACACACACACACATACACATACACAAACACACACATGTAAATCAGAGATGATAAGGATTGTACATAATGCAAAGCAAAACTAGCTCATGTTTGTTTTCCCTTTAAGATTCAAATATTAAGAACTGGAGTTTTAAGAGATACCAGAACTTAGATTGAACAGAGAAGTGATTGCGTCCTAAGTCGTAAGCCCTTAGATCTGAGTGATGAACAGAGTTGATAACATGTGCTGTTTTTCTCCACAGACCTGCCTTAGCTGACACATGGTACTCACTCTCCTACCTTTACTATAGTGCTGTGGGCTTCCTGGGATGCATGATTGCTGGAATAATCATCAGCTTCCTGACAGGTGGGTTGTCTGGTATCCTCTCTTGGGGTTTATTTCATTCAGATGTAGACTACATGGCAGCCTTACCAATTTGCTTCTGAATCCAACACAAAAGTCCTTTTCTTAAAGAGATACACATACTCTATCTAAGTAGATCTCTCTGTCTATGTCTGCCCCCACCCTCTGTGTGTATGTGTCTGTCTGCGTATTTGTTTAGCAATCAGAAATAGGTAAGATATTTTGAACTATGACTCTGCAATCATACCTGGGCATAAACAAACTCTTTGTAACATCAATTATGAAGGAAGACTAAAGACTAACTACTCAGTGTATTTCACCTGACTCTCAACACAATCCTATTTTATATTCAGGGTTTCATTGTAGGGCTTGTGCACTGTGCATGGTAACCACAATGGGGGAAAAGTAGGGGATGCATTATAACTCATGCTTTATGCTTTTCTCATAGGGTTAGTACCTTGGCACAAAATTGCTTTTCTTCAGAGGAAGGGGAACCAAAATTACAATAAAAGTAATGAATGTGGGGGCTGGAAAGATGGATGAAGTGGTTAAAAGAAAAGGTTGCTTTTCCAGAGTACCCCAGTTGAATTCCCAGCACCCATGTCATATCTCTCAACTGTCTATAACTTCAGTCCCAGGAGATCTGCTGCCTTTGTCTGAACTCTGTGGGGATGTAGAGACATGTACATAGACATTAATGCAGACAAATATCTGTGGGTTGGTTTCGGGTTAAATCCTTTAATGTAGAACACATTGACATTCTTCATTCCAGTTGTCTGAGGTTTGCACATCGTTCCCCATTTCTCTCTCTCTCTCTCTGTCTCTGTTTCTGTCTCTCTCTCTCTCTCTCTCTCTCTCTCTCTCTCTCTCTCTCTCTAACTCTCTTTCATTAAGACAAATGTTGTACTACCAGTTTTCAGATCACAGATGGCCACTTCCTTAATGTATTATTTAATAACTAATATAAAGTTCCTTATCAACAAAAATTAGCAAAATGTACCTACTCTGTAGAAGGCACGAACTGACAAATATCAATTTAATTAGAATGCTATTAAGTAAAACATCTTTGACAGACTGATACAACACTATGGAACATGTTATGTGAACCTCAAAACATCGGACAAGCACAACGTTTTTGTCACATAGCATCAGGCTCATAAAAGGAATCTCATCAATGTGTTTAACTCTTACTCCAGTGCTTCCAACAGGGACCTCTGGCTTCATTGGCTCTTAGACTTCCCAACACTCTCTGGGACACAGTATTTAACTAGTCTTCCTGGCCAGAAAATTTACAAAGGTTCTAGGAGGATGACTTCATCAGCCTTTATATCTTAGTATAAATGTTAGTCTGATATGTTCCTCAGTAGGATTTAAAGGGAAGGAACCAATATGTTTTGAAGATCAGAAGGGAAGTGTGAGGAAAGTCTAGAGCACTGCCTAACATGCTAATGTTGTAACGAAAGAAGATGAAACAGTAAAAATGGTCTTTCTAATTTTACAAATTCTGACCTAGATGGTCCAATACATATATGATTTAGATAAAAATTGAGGAAGAAAGAAACACACTTTCTGTTGTTTCTTCAGTTGACCTGCAAAATTTGCTACTTGAGTAATATTTTCAAATGGTTATGTTATCACCATTTAACTTTATAGTCCTGAACTCTTTTGATTTGACAGGTGAATTTATAACTTGCAACTCTTTCAGCATTATATCAATTTCTATAGATTCACCTCTGAAGCTTGTTTTCAAGCTTTGTTAAGAAATAATCCAACCTCAAGTTGATACGCTTGTACTGAAATGGAAGACCTGAAGGGCTGCAGCAATTTAATCCATCTCCTTTTTCTTAACAGGCAGGCAAAGAGGCAAAGATATTGACCCACTTTTAATAAGACCAGTTTGCAATTTATTTTGCTTTTGGTCTAAGAAATACAAAACTCTGTGCTGGTGTGGAGTTCAGCATGACCAGGAAACAGAGCAGGTGAGTGGATGCATGAGCTTCTCAAAACAGGCATTGGCTCAGGGTAAAGAATGCTCTCCCTCCACCCCACCACTAGGAGTGCCCTTCTGCTTCAGGGAGTGTCCTTCCTCCACCTTGCAACAATTGTGACAGAAAAATACTGCAAGGATGGGAAACAGAAAATGTCAACAGCTTGAAAGAATACAGATTTTTGACCCCAGAGTCCCTCAAGCTGATGGTCTTTTAAGTGTATGTTGATAGGTTATTGTGCCTCATGATTGGAATGTTGACATTGAAAGTGATCAGTTTCCAAAGTCTCTTTTAACCCCTGAGAGGTGAGTTCCTAAGAAAAAAATAGAAAAATGAGTTCTAGAAAAAAGTAAAATACAAGACACAGTCAAATGTGATATGTAAGATGATGAGTTTGAGAGTCAGACAGCCTTGGGTCTACTCCTAGTTCTAACTCTCATTTTCCTTTGTTTAGCTTTGATTACTTGAGGACAAAAGAATAATATACAGAATGACATATACACAACTTTCTAATTCTCTAGGATATTATATTAGTTATTTTTGTCTATTACCTCTTACTAAAATTCCTGAAAGAATGCCCAAAGGATTTTTGCTGTTATTTGGTTTGATTTGGTGTGGTTTTGTATCACAGTTTCAAAGGATTCATCCATGATTGCTTAATTCCATTCATTTGGACATACTAGGAGGTTAATGGGAAAATACGAAACAGGAGGCTGCTCACTTCCCAATGGGGATGAAAACAGAAAGAATGGGAATGCAGGCAAGGGTCATAGAAAGATATTGCCTATGGGAAAAGCCTCCAGTGATTTATTTCTTTCATCTGGGCCCTACTTCCTAAAGCTCTTCCCCATAGCTGTACCAGCTGAAGTAAAACTGAGACACATTTCACATTCAAACCACAACAGCTATAAATATTGATGGAAAATTACAGTCAAATAAGAATCAAAATGCAACCAGTTTCCTTAGCCTCTTTATGCCCCAGAAGTACAATTATGTTAGACCAATGGAGACTTTAAAGCATTGCATTCGCATCTGTCAAGACTCACAATGAGCAGCTTGGGCTCTAAGTAAATTGCACTGACTGACAATGGAACAAGCTTAGGAACTGCAGAAGTGATAGGCAACACTGACTCTCTTCATGAGGAAGGCAGGATATACTTTTGTAAGATTTGAGCAGTGTAAGTATTGTGAAAGAAGTTGAAGGAAAATCGAGATGTTTGCAAAACTATCCCTGTCATCCTTCATAAATGTGCAGTAGTTACATAATATCTCCTATACCTGTCAAGATTGGCTTTTAATATGTGTCTTTGCACATTCCTCAGGATTACCTTGACAGTGGCAGTGCCTGGAAACAGGGCACTGAATCTGCCCTACAGAATGGACTCAATCAAGAAAGCCTGGCCCAGATTCCAGACTACAACCCCAAGGACAAAAATTACAGCAGCAGTGCACAGAAGACTACACATTTCTAGGACAATATATGCAACTGATAATATTCTCTGTCCCTCTGTCTCCCTCCCTCCCTCCCTCTTTTCCTCCCTCCCATCCTCTCTCCCTCCCTCTCTCCCTCCCTCTCTGTACATCCACCCTCTCTCCCCCACACATGTACACACATACTCCATGACATTCCTCCCTCTTATAGAATTGTGTATAGATTCTTTTCAGAAAACAAAGATGACCAATACCTATTTTTTTTTTGGTTTTACGAGACAGGGTTTCCCTGTATTGTTTTGGAGGCTGTCGGTCCAGCCTGGCCTCGAACTCACAGAGATCCGCCTGCCTCTGCTTCCCGAGTGCTGGGATTAAAGGCGTGTGCTGACCAATACCTTTTTATATTTATTTATAGAAATGATAAGACTGTTTCTTGGGATACTATTTGTGAAGCCCAAATTTCAGGTGAGAAAAATCAGACCTAGGCCAGAAGTGCCTGATACTACATAACTAAATAGGGACCGAATTTTATCATTATGCACGGAGTCAAAGTCTTTTTGCTTCCTATCAGATTAAATCTCAGGGTTTGTTGTTTGTTTGTAGGTTTATATTTTGTTTTGTTGTGGTGAATTAAGCACAGGACCTTATTCCTATAAAATACCTGCCTGACTATTGACCGTAGGCCACATTTTGAAGTCTTAATCATTAAAATATCCTGGTGGAGGTAGAGACTAAACATACAGGAAAATCTGTGTATTCAATGCTTCTTTGACATGGCTGACAAAACAGGGATGACATCATCTCTAACCTCATGTCTTACATGTATGTAGACAGGTATACATATCCATGCCTTCCATGTGGCCTCAGCTAGAACATTTAACTTCTATCAGTATCCTCACACTGCCTCCTTTATATGTTATTTTAGTGATTCTTGCTGCTAAAACTATTGTAGCTAAAATTTAAGGATAATTATACTAAGTAAAGGAGGAGAAAAATCAGTCTTCTCAGTGGGGGTAAATCACATCTAAATAGACAATTTACTTTGCACTGTTGAGAAAGTGTTTCCTCTCCATCACTTTAAAATAATAAATTTGGAGCTAGAAAAATGGTTCAGTAGTTAGGAGAACTTCTTGGCCTTCCAGAGGACCTGAGGTAAATTCCAAGCACCCAAGTTGAGTATCTTACAGCTGCCTATAAATCCAGCTCCAGAGAATCGGTACTTTTTGTGATGTCCATTGGCAGTCACATTCATGTACATATAGCCACAAACAGACACATACACCTACTAATAGTAAAGAATTTAAACATTTCTTTTAAGTAAAAACACTCTGTGATTACCCAGAAGTCAAGAGTCTAATCTATAAAGCTGAATAAAGGGAAACACTCTTTATAAAAAGCTGTGAGGTCAGCCAGAATTTTATAAATGAACCTTGCAAGGAACTTACTATCCATAGCAGAGGTATTTAATCATGGAGTCTTATTCACTATCCACAGAACCCCTCCATGTCACAGGTACAAGATCAAGTCACCTCATCAGACTGTATTACTTTAATCCAGGAGAATAGCTTTAAAGTTCTGAAGCAAAGTTATTACAAAGTAAAAGGTGATTTGACAAATGGAGTTGCAGTGAAACTGTTGGAAGAAGAAAATAGACTATTACAAGGAAAATGAAAAGAAAAAACAATGTCCAAGGAATTAGATTATAACAATATTAGCAGCTAATATGTATGCAGAATACGTTTACATGCCTATGTGTATGTTCATAGTAACACATATGTAAGTGATTTGGAAGCCATTTTAAGGGTTGTAAACTTTAACCTGGAACTTCACAAAAGCAGAATATCTCAATTTTTTTCATTTTACCAAAAATTCACCTAAGGCTACCTCATTAAATCAACACTTACCTTAGAGTTATATTTAAAATATTTTTTGTTTTCTTTCAGTATATATTTTTCTTAGAGTATTATCAAAAGTACTCAATTAAAATGACCTACAACCATTTTATTATAGAAATGGTGTAGTCTCCTTTTGTATAATAAACTATAAGGTACAATTAGAGAAAATATATAGACCTTTTCAAACTCTGAGTAGAGGTTCCCTTTTACTCATTCAAACAAATAGGCCTTCATGTAGACAGCAGAAAGAAATCTGAAAAAGTAAACATATCATAGTGGTGAACGATGGATAATTAGTACTATTTAAAATTACTTCTTTTAAAAATAAATTCAGAATGACAAGCACTGAAATGAGCTCTGGAATATTTCCTATGAGTGGGGTGCAAGATGGTCTTCTACTTTGGAAACCTTTCTGTAAACTTTAGAGACTAAAATGGACCTATCAGTAACAAGTAAACAGATGTTATAATAAGCTTAACTGTATCATATACAAGGCCATTCTTTTCAATGTTTCAGATACGGTACACAGTGTTTGGCTTATATGGGCTTTAAGGTATATACACACAAAACCATAAATACACAGGATAAAAAAGAGTCTCACTTATTTTTAAGTGTTCAAAGATGAACTGAACTTGTTTGCTATTTGGATAGAAAGAAAGTTGTGTTCACAATTGAAGCTGAGGAAACAACTGCAAAGGAGACTTGCTTTTGTACCTAGGTCACATATTCCCACATTGCCCCCACAGTCTCCAGAGCCTTGCTTCTGCTAATATTTTGAAGTTGGATTTGTTTTCCTTTCTGCTCGTTCAACGCCTTGTTTCTCACTTCAATAAAGGCACCAAAAGAGTAGTGTCTATTCAAACTCTAGCTTCAAAATATAGTGAATTTGGCCTAAGGTGTTTAACTAATAACATTAGGTAGAATAGAGACTATGAGACTCAGGTATGGTTAGCCATCCAGACCACAATTATATTTCTTTTGTTTTCTTTTCCAACTATCAATTTAGGAATGTTACTTTTTCAAAAATAAAGAGCAAAGATACTGTTTTATTTTACATCCTAAGATTAAAGTTGGAAAAATGAATTGAAGAAGTCAGGGAAGATAGGGGCTAATTTTGCCTTGCCTTCTCAGGGAAAGACAAAGAAAAGCTGCATGCTGACTGTTCACTGTCACTAAGGGCTGCCACTTACAGTCAAGAAATGCTAAAGCAACTTAATCAGCTGTACAGCTCACCAATTACAATGACATAAGTGGATTTAGTCTTCTATTCCCTGGCTAGACATTAAATTAGCCCTGAGTGGGAGACATTTGCAAACAACCTACCTGCTTTCACAATTTCTTTTTCTTTTGTTTTTTTATAAAGCTACTGTGGATGACACAGGGATGGTCTTTAGGAAGAAAGCTGTTAAATATAGTCACAAATATAATTTCCAAGATGGCAATCTTGATGGGAAGAAAATTATCACCTCTACAAAAACAAAAGTCCAAATTAGTAGGAACTTGGGCTGATCAATAATTCAAGCTAAAGACAAATTAGTTCTATGTGATTTTGGCACACTTTGCTTTGAGTAGAAATGTTTATAGGAAAACATTTAACTTTCCAAATGAAACCAGGAGTTTTGGTTTCCTCAAAATGTTTTTCCTTGAAGCTCCAAAAATAGAAGAAGTAAGGTAAGATGTTAACCTGACTCTTTCTGTAAAATCCAGAAGGTTGTTTCGAAGTCATTGTGATAAGTAATTTGGGGAAAATTGAGTACAACCATCTGGTGACATTTTTTAAAACTTGCCCAGTTGAACAATTAATCTATCCACATGTATCAGTTAGGTTATTCAACAAGCAGAACTAATTTTCAAGTTGAACTATCAAGTTTAAACCCAAAACGGATAAGTTGGTAATTCTTAGTTACAGGATAAGAGTATCCTTGCACTGCATTTGTGCTTAATTTCCTATCCCATCTCAGGAATATTATGCTGGTTAATTCCACAATGTATTGTCAGAACAGTGTTCAAATCCTCAGCTCCTTGGCTCACACCTTAAGCTGTTGTATTAGGGTTTTTATTGCTGTGAGGAGACACCATGACTATGACAACTCTTATAAGGATAACATTTAATTTAGGTGGCTTTCTGACAGTTCAGAGGGTCAGACCATTATTATCATTGTGGAAAGCATGGTGGCATACAGGCAGACATGGTCTGGAGCAGAGAGTATTACATTTTGTAGGCAACAGGAAATCAGTTGAGACGCTGGTTGACATTCTGAGCACAGGAAACCTCTATGCTCACTCCCACAGTGACATACTTCCTCCAAGACCACACCTACTCCTCCTAATCATGCCACTCCCTATAAGATACTGTGGAGGGCAGTTGCATGCAAACTGCCACAATTGCCTGGCATGTTCTGGAGGTCTGAATGAATAATGCTTCTTATAGGTTTATGTGTTTGAACCCTTAGTACCCAATTTGGTAGTTCTGTTTGTGGAAGTTATAGAATCTATAGGAGGTGGAACCTTGCTGGACAAAGTATGTCACTGAGATTGGTTATTAAAGTTTATAGCCTTAACCCATTTCATGTTCTCTTACTATACTTACTGTGTGTGGATGAAAAAAATGTAATCAGCAGGTATCTTGCTTGCTACTATGCGTTTGTTGCCATGAGGATTCTATCCCCATGGAACCATAGACTAAAATAAAGCTTTTCTTCCATAAAAGAATATTAATTATTGTGTTTTTATTATTCCTTAATTATGATACTTTTTTGCACATATGTTTGCATATCCCAGAAGCTGAATGAGGGCACTGGATCTCCTGGAACTGTAGTTACAGATGATAGTACCCCACTAAATGAGTGCTGGGAACCAAATTAGGGTCCTCTATAAGAGCATCAAGTGCTCTTACCTGCTGAGCCATCTCTCCAAACTCTTTTATTAAAGATTTATTTACCCTGGGTAATTTTAATAGTGACTGGGAAAGGCATCATTTAGGTGACAAAGAAAATGATTGGCTGACCCCTAGGTTCCTCCTAGTTCTGCCTCCCTAGGGCTGGGATCACAGACATATTCTACCATGTTTGGCTTTTTATGTAAGTGTTGATGATCCAGACTTAGGTTCCCATGCTCACAGAGTGAACATTTTACCCATGGAGTCATCCTCTCAGTACTGTGAATGACTTTATGATGAGAATATTATGAGAAGATAGTCTGAATGTGTTGAGTTTCCCCAAGAATAACAAAACTATGGCTTCAAGGGGCTAAAGAATGTGTAATCTTTTCAGCCCATACACATTCAACAGATACCAATCTAAAATTTAAAGAACAAGTAGAATGAATTTTAATGTGTGGATTACAGTAAAAATGATAGTTTATTGAGTGAATTTTTTTTTCTATTCATTCCATTGTATAGTATATTGTGCCAAGAATCATTTAGTGTTCAAGTTGAATCTCATCATGCAGGCAGGCAGAAGTGTCTCACCTAAAAGTGCCTACACAGACTCATACAATTGGGAACTATTATAGTTAAGACTTAAAATGGTTCACACAACTTGTCAAGGTAGAGTGCATGCACATATACATTAATTATTAGCATAAAAAGATAACAAGTGAAGTTATGAAAATATATGAGTAGCATTCACGTCATACAGAATTCCTGAGAATAGTGTGTGCTATAAATCTTTGAGAAATAATTTATATTCATATGAAAAACACGTATAAAACATTTCTCTCAACTTAAGTATAGTGATTAAAAATTAACATTCTGTGAGGGGCTATCTGTTTTACTGTCAGTTAAGATAAAACCAAGTTCAATTGTCCTACAACTGTTTACAAAACAAACATTTCAGACAATTTTTTGGTTCTCTGTTTTCTTATATCTGTTTCAAAAATATCATGGAAGGCATTTTCTAAATTAATATAGTACACCATTTATTAAAATATCTTTTTCTCTTCATATCAATCAATATGACTTAAACCCCAATGTACTATAGAAAACCCTAGAAAAAGAATTTACAAGGAAAAAGCTATTATTGTTTGTCTGCCCACAAGACACAAGTCTGTCTTGCATCCCTAATTTGAAAAATATGTAAATGTTAGGTAAAGAAAATATTACGCTTAGGTATGTGTGTACATTTAATCATTAAAGAAAAGGGAGCACAAATGATCCAAAAAAGAGGAGCTGGAATCTTTATAGGATAAATTAGTGGAATTAGCCATGATATTTCTTAGTGGAAGAGTCCCTGGAACAAGGATTTGTATAGGAGTTTACTACATATCTCTTTTGTGTGTACCTAATCCCTTATTTTGAATTTTGTAAATATTTGTTTTTCTTAATTGAACAAAACCAAACTGAACAAATTGTGTTCTCTTTCTGTATGTATGTGTATGTGTGTGTTCGCTGTGTGATTTTCAGCCTTATTCTCAAGAAAAAAATAAAAGCTTGGACCATCTTGTTTTGCATGGGAAAGTGTATTAATTTTTTTGTATTGTATATTCATTTACTCCACCTCTTGCCTTTCATTCTACTCTGCCCTCTTAATTTACACCTCCTCTTAATGTCCTTTAATTGAATATTCCTTCATTTGTGCTCCATCAATGTGTGGACAAACTTGACATTCAAATAAGGATTCTACAACAAATGAAATTATGATTTTCACAATTAGTTTGACTTTGTTTCTAGAGAGTTTTGAAATTAAGTAAAATCAACTCATCAAAAAACAAAGTGAAACAAAACCCGGAAATCTCCATTCCTTGATTAAAATGTGAAATTCAGAAAGGTATTTTATGTGAATAATACACTATATGCATGCATTATTTAATTAGCTCATAATTAATAGTGCACATTCTAGTAAAAGCATAAGTGTTGCAGAACATTTGGCTTTGGATTTCCTGAATGAACACATTTAGTAGCATCCTGTGTAACTGGTCTTAGAGCTCCATAAGCTGGAACTTGATTACACAGTGTAAAAGTGCAAACATAAAGGAACATTGATATATTTACATTGTTTCAACATAGTGTTCTGTGAGATTTGTAATAATTCAGAGAGGGGCATGTAGAATAGAATACAAGATAGGCTTATTCAATAAAGAAAGAATTAGTCATGTCTAAATGACACAAGAATAGCCATTCAAATATTTAAAGTTGATCTGTTGGCATTCATTAATAAAAAATGGGCAGTTCACTTGGCTCTGATTGATTAAGCAAATTTAAACACAGACAATATAACAGAATTATTCCAGTGGTGTGCTCTTTAGAACTTGGATTTTTTGTTTGAATATGTGTGTAACTGTTGAAGTACATAGTCATCATGAAGCGTAATAAATGCCTAGTGCTTACACCCATTATCTCAATGAGAGAAAAAACAACCCCACTAGCCTGTAAGCTGAAAGGACATGGAGTTCTGACATCAGAGCCAACAGCTGGTTTAACTTATTTCCTGTGAATATCTGAACTCAAGTGAAAGTCCTAGAATATGATTAGCTTGTGAACATGTACATGGAAATCCATCTCTGGAAATATCGCCACCACATTTCCTACTATCCCTGCAGCTGATGGAACTGGGTTCGAAACATGAAACTCCACTTGCTCTGAGATCAGAGCCTGACTCTGCTGTTTCAGTTGCATCCCTTGGAGGTCTCAAGTCTTTTCTTTCTTTAGAAGTCTGAGCATTCCAAATTATAGAGGCTGTTGTGATGTATTTCCAAGCAGCATTTTATACATACAGTTTGCCAAATATTCCTTCCTTTTGGATCCCATGCACATTTAAAGGGTCACATTCCTTCTTACTAATGGTACCTCCCCTTTTGGGTAACAGGTACTGACTAAGGCCATTCATGGTGAATAGGCTGACCACTTTTTCTCCGCTGTTGCTGTAAATGTTCCAGCTCAGCCTCATACATCATTTCTTGGACTAAGTATTTCTCTCGCCGTATGCGCTCACGGAGGCCCTTTGGTATATCTGGAATCAGGTATGCAATGAATGACTTAATCCCAAAAACGAGGTGCTGTAAGTTAAGAGTAAAAACAATGTTTTCAAAGGTACCAGAACACTCATTGTCAAAGAGAAAAGTCATGAACAATGATGAATTTATCTTAAAGTCAAGCATCAGAATTTGATCTGTAGCATTTAGAATTTTGCTTTTAAGAGTTTTACAGAGATCACAAATATTAATCACTGCCGCTGTTGAGCATTAGCTAGACATTTAAAATTGTTTCCTTTTTTATGATGATATCATTTCATAAAAAGTATCTTAAATTCTTAATAAAGTTCTTCATAAAAAACATCTTAAATTCTTGTATTTAAAATTATTAATGCTATAAAATATTACTATAATACACATTAATAGGCACAAATATGAAGTCTGCTTTAGGAAAATGTATTTTTAAGGAACAAAATGCATGCTACACAAACCTGGGAGCCAGTGATTAGACTCAACCGCAACAAATTTATTTTTCAAAAATTACATTCTTTATGTTCACTATTGCCATAAGTACTACAAAACATTTGATCTGTTACATAACTTTGCTTCAGTTGAGTGTGGGCTCTGCTGGGGCCCCAACTCCTGCCCATCACCCCCACCCTCAACCATCCTGGGCCTGCTCATCACATTGAGTGGACTCACCCAGACAGGAAGGACACGAGTCCTGTTACACCCCACTCTTGGCTATCCCTCTGCCCACTGAGCTCTGCTTGAGTGTGGAGAATACCAGGAGAAGCCGCACCATCTAGAGTTGTAGACCTGAAGTCTTGGCCCACATATACCACTAGGAGACCAAAGGAGACAGAGAGACCCTACCTTCACCCACTTGAAGAAGGGATCGGAAGGCAACAGTATAAGAATACACTCAGCAATAGAAAGACCAATATGATCAATCTAGAGACACCACACCAGCAAGACCTGAAAAGTCCAACGCAGATGAAGCAGAAGAGATGGACCTTAAAAATTATTTTATGAAGATGATAGAGACCCTCAAAGAGGAAACAAGAAAATCCCTTAAAGAAATAGAAGAAAAAAACAAAAAATACATCAGATGGAAGACAAATCAAAAAATTGAAATAAATAAACAAATCTCTTAAAGAATCTAAAGAGAGTCAAGAAAAAGGAACCAAACAAGTGAAGGAAACAACTCAAACAGTTCAAGGCTTGAAAGCTGAAATAGAAACTATAAAGAAAACATAGAATGAGGTGATGCTGGATAAATGATCAGGAAATATAGATGTAAGGATAACCAACAGAATAAAAGAGATGGAAGAGAGAATCTCAGGTGTTGAAGACTCACTAGAGGATATACAGTCATCGACCAAAGAAAATCTCAAGTCCAACAAATCCCTAACACAAAGTATCCAGGAAACATGGATACCATGAAGATGCCAAACATAGGCAATAGATAATATCACTTTCCCAAACACCAAAAGAAAAAGGGGAAGGAGGATCCATACACAATTACAACACCACCAGTAAATTCAAAAGATACAAGAATCAACAATCAATGGTCATTAATATCCCTTAGTGTCAATGATTTCAACTTTCCTATAAAAAGACATAAGATAACAGAAATGATACAAAGACAGAATCCATCCTTCTGTGGCATACAAGAAACACATATCAATGTCAAAGACATACATTACCTCAGAGTAAAGGATTGGGAAAATATTAGAAGGCAGACACATTTGTAAAAGAAACATTACTAAAGCTCAAATCACATATAAAACCTCAAACACTTATAGTAGGAGACTTCAACACCCTGCTTTCACCACTAGACAGGACCACCAGACAGAAACTTAACAAAGAAACAATCTGGAATAAGATAATGCTCTCCACTCTCTCCATATTTCTTCAATATTGTACTTGATTTTCTAGCTAGAGCAATTAGGCAACAAAAGGAGATCAAGTGGATACAAATTGGAAAGGAAAAAGTAAAACTTTCACTATTTGATAGTTTACACAAGTGACCTGTAAAACTCTACCAGAGAACTCCTACAGTTTATAAATACCTTCAGCAAAATGGCAGGATACAAAATTAACTTTAAAAAATTAGTGGCTTGACAGGCCCCTCCAAGAACCCAACCCAGCGAGCCCAGCTTCAGGTGAGATTGGGTCCCCGGCTGGGACCACCCGCCCATCACCCATCCCCCTCCATCTTCGGGGCCACTCCCGGCTTCCAGAAGAACCGCCCACACAGGCCCCTCCAAGACCCCAACCCAGCGAGCCCAGCTTCAGGTGAGATTGGGTCTCTGGCTGGGACCACCCGCCCATCACCCATCCCCCTCCATCTTCGGGGCCGCTCCCGGCTTCCAGAAGAACCGCCCACACAGGCCCCTCCAAGACCCCAACCCAGCGAGCCCAGCTTCAGGTGAGATTGGGTCTCTGGCTGGGACCACCCGCCCATCACCCATCCACCTCCATCTTCGGGGCCGCTCCTGGCTTCCAGAAGAGCCGCCCACACAGGAAAGAGATCAGCCCCTCCAAGACCCCAACCCAGCGAGCCCAGCTTCAGGTGAGATTGGGTCTCTGGCTGGGACCACCCGCCCATCACCCATCCCCCTCCATCTTCGGGGCCGCTCCCGGCTTCCAGAAGAGCCGCCCACACAGGAAAGAGATCAGCCCCTCCAAGACTCCAACCCAGCGAGCCCAGCTTCAGAAGAGCCGCCCACACAGGAAAGAGATCAGCCCCTCCAAGACCCCAACCCAGCGAGCCCAGCTTCAGGAAAGAGATCAGCCCCTCCAAGACCCCAACCCCAGCGAGGCCAGCTTCAGCTTCAGCTGCAGTAAGGAAGGAGACCAGTGGAAACAGAAAGCCCCCACCAGCACCCACTGGAAGAAGAGATGGGAAGAAGACAGAATAAGAGATCACTCAGCAATAGAAACACCAACACGACCCCACCAGAATCCAGGGATCCAACACCAGCAAGACCTGAAAAGCACTACATAGATGAAGAAGAGGAGACAGACCTTAAAAATTATTTCATGAAGATGATGGAGAGCCTCAAAGAAGAAACGAGGAAATCCCTTAAAGAAATAGAAGAAAAAACAAACAAAAAAATCCATGAAATGGGGGAAAAAATTCAAGAAATAAACAAATCTCTCAAAGAATCTAAAGAGCACCAAGAAAAAACAACCAAGAAAATTAAGGAAACAGCTCAAACAGTTGAAGGATTGAAAGCTGAAATAGAAACGATAAAGAAAACACAGAATGAAGGGATGCTGGAAATAGAAAAGCTCGGTAAACGGTCTGGAATTACAGATGCAAGCATCACCAATAGAATATAAGAGATAGAAGAGAGAATCTCAGGTGTTGAAGACTCATTAGAGGACATAGCATTGTCAACCAAAGAAAATCTCAAAACCAACAAATCCTTAACACAAAATATTCAGGAAATATGGGACACCGTGAAGAAGCCAAACCTGAGAATAATAGGTATAGAAGAAGGTGAAGAACTTCAACTTAAAGGTACAGAAAACATATTCAACAAAATCATAGAAGAAAACTTCCCTAACCTAAAGAAAGATATGCCTATGAAAGTACAAGAATCTTACAGAACACCAAATAGGCTTGACCAGAAAAAGAAGTCACCTCGCCATATAATAATCAAAACATCAAACCTACAGAGCAAAGAGAAAATATTAAGAGCAGCTAAAGAAAAAGGCCAAGTAACATATAAAGGCAGACCTATCCGAATTACACCTGACTTCTCAATGGAAACGATGAAAGCCAGAAGATCCTGGTCAGATGTCCTACAAACGCTAAGGGAACAAGGATGCCAGCCCAGACTACTATATCCAGCAAAGCTCTCAATTACCATAGATGGAGAAAACAAAATATTCCATAACAAAGCCAGATTTAAACAATACGTATCCATGAATCCAGCTCTACAGAAAATGCTAGAAGGAAAACCTAGAGCCAAGGAAGATAATTACATTCACAAAGACACAGGCAATATAGAATCATACTTTACAAAACACTAAAAGAAAAAGGGAGGAGAAACTACACAAAATAACTTCACTAACAATAAATCACACGCAAACAAGGATCACCAATCAATGGTCATTAATATCCCTCAATGTCAATGGCCTCAACTTACCTATAAAAAGACACAGACTAGCAGAATGGATACGAAGACAGAACCCTTCCTTCTGCTGCATACAAGAAACACATCTCAACACCAAAGACAGACGTTATCTCAGAGTAAAGGGCTGGGAAAAGATCTTCCAATCAAACGGCCCCAAGAAACAAGCGGGCGTAGCAATCCTAATATCTAACAAATTAGACTTCAAATTAAAATCAATCAAAAGAGATGAAGAAGGGCACTTCATATTCATCAAAGGAAAAATACATCAAGACGAAGTCTCGATTTTAAATATCTACGCCCCAAATACAAAGGCACCTACATTCGTGAAAGAAACATTACTAAAGCTCAAAATGCACATAAAATCTCACACACTAATAGTAGGAGACTTCAACACTCCACTCTCACCGCTAGATAGGACCTCCAGACAGAAACTTAACAAAGAAACAAAAGAATTAATAGAAGTTATGACCCAACTGGGTTTAACAGACATCTATAGAACATTCCACCCAAATACAAAGGGATATACCTTCTTCTCGGCACCACATGGAACCTTCTCTAAAATTGACCACATAATAGGAAACATAGCAAATCTCCACAGATACAAAAAAATTGGAATAACCCCCTGCATCTTATCAGACCACCATGCATTAACATTAGAATTCAACAATAGCACAAATCGCAGAAACCCTACAAACTCATGGAGATTGAACAATGCACACTTGCACCATCCCTGGGTAAAGGAACAAATAAAAAAAGAAATTAAAGACTTCCTCGATTTCAATGAGAATGAAGACACAACATACACAAACTTATGGGACACTTTGAAAGCAGTGCTGAGAGGAAAGTTTATAGCACTAAGTGCCCACATGAAAAAACTGGAGAACAGTCATACTAGAGAATTAATAGCACAGCTGAATGTTCTAGAACAAAAAG